CACCCGCCGCGCCCCGCTCCCTCCTCGCCCTTGGCCGTGTTACCGGCACTGGCCCTCCTCCTGCCTGTGCCAACGGGGAGCAAACGGGGTTAAACCCCAGCAAACCGACGGTACGGTCCACGGCCGGTGAGCCAGCCCCAGCCACCCCTTCTGTTCACTGATCTCCCCTTCTAAAAACAGCCTCGGTCTGATTTTGTACAAGATGCAAATTAATTGTTTTCAAGTTCACTGGCCCACTGTGCTCTTTTCTGACTGCTCCGCTGGGGTTTTGTTCTTGGGCAGCCGCTTGAAGGAACGGTGCAGAAAAGCCCCGGACAAGTCCCGTTCGCCCCTGCTCAACAGGCCTGCCGGCACACCTCGGTTTAGCTTCTCTCGCAGGGGTTCACGTCACCACTCCAACTTCTGTTAATGCCCTGTAACTCATACCAGTAAAAAAATACTCACCTTGTGCATTGTTACTTAAATAGGAAAAATCTGCAAAAATGTATTTTCCAGTCTTACCTATTAATTTCTAATTGAGAAGGAAAACTGTTACATCAACTGAAAAAATACTGAAGTGCTGTACCTCATTAAATTGGGAGAGGCTTTTTAGCAGGGCCTTTTGCAATAGGACAAGGGGTAATGCTTGTAAACTAAAAGAGGGCAGATTTAGACTAGAGGCAAGGAAGAAATTTTTTACAATGAGGGTGATGAGACGGTGGCACAGGCTGCCCAGAGAGATGGTAGAAGCCCCATCCCTGGAAACACTCAAGGTCAGGCTGGACGGGGCTCTGAGCAACCTGATGTAGCTACAGATGTCCCTGCTGACTGCAGGGGGGCTGAAGCAGGTGACCCTGAAAGGTCCCTTCCAGCCTAAACCATTCTGTGACGGTAGGAACATACATCAACAGATTGTCCAACTTCCCTTTTTTTCTTTTTAAAACCAGAGGTACTAAAAACATACTGTGTAGAAACTACATAATTTGAATTTTAGATAGTTAAAAATGAATGATGCTTTCACTATTTTAAAGCAGAAAGCCAACTTACTCTATAATTAAAACGTTTCAAAATGTCTGTTTTGGAAAAAATACCAACTTAATACTGATCTGTTTGAGTTCATTTGGCTACTGATCTAGCCAAACACAAGGCAATACAAGGACTGCATCTCCTCCTAAAATTCATTCTTTTCTTTGTTACCTGCTTACTAGTTTTGTATGCAAAACTCCTAGCTGTTCATTTTCTTTCAGGGAAAATACATACAAAAATCAACACAAATAGTGTTTGTGAAAACAAAGAGAAGACATGACAGAACAGTAAATGGTCATACAGAAGTTTTTAATGTTTGATTAAATCATCACAGTAATCAGAATTTTTACTGTAATGATATGCAGCTCTACCACACTATTATAAATAAAAACATTAAGATCAATATTAAATACAGCTCTAGGCAACATCACAGATTAACAAATAATGCATTCTTCATGAACCAGTAACTGAATGGTTTAAAAAATAAAAAAAAAAAAGCTGACACTTTCCCCCTCCCATCCACCACATTTTGTTTCAAATTAGTAACTTGAGTAAGGCGCTGGAAATTTCACGTTAGAAAACTTCTGTTGCACAGCACAGGCACACGTACTTCATTATCAGAACCTCTACGTAGGTTTACCAGAAGACATTTTAAATGTCCACAGAGAAAGCTTAGCAGGTGCGAGCAGCAAACAGATGCAAAATTTATGTGCAGCACTCGGGATCCATGCTGAAATTGTAAAACACAGCAGGGGTGTGAACTGTATTTTAATTCAGACATACAGTCTATGCCATTAGGAGCAAGTTAATACAGTACACACAGCAGTGTTTTATGAGAACAGCAGACATGGCAGAGGTTTCATACTGATTTAAAGCAATTTTTATGTGTGTAGTGTGTTTATATTCTTCCACCGTAGAAAAAAATTAAACAGAAATCGGCATCACAGACCGCTCCCAGAGCTGACTTCTATAAATGGGCCCGATCCTGCTCTTTGTGGAGTTTCTTCAGCCTCACACAACAGAGCAAATTCTGAACCACTAGCACTGACTGCTGTGGAAGAATACCGCTAGTTACTGCAGCGCGCTTGAGCCCACACAGCCTGGCTCCCTCTTTCAGTTCCAAACCCGTTTTTAACGCAGTGGCTGATGACCACGAGCCAAATGGCACATTCGCTTTCTATGGTTCCAGTTGCTGCAAGAGATGAGATGATGAGATGGAGATGGCAGTTTTAGACTCGGAAAAAAAATCGGTAAAAATTCAGCAGAGCACTTAAGCACAGGCATTAAATTTCGGTTCAGTATGTTACTGTACTCAAGATAAAAATCCTACCGAGTACTTTGCAAATAAAGACGTTTGAGGTAACTGTGATGAATGCCTCAGAGATACCATACCTATGATTATGACTTCAGACTTTTAGCATTTATGTATTTGCAGTCTCATGCGCATAACTGTTGAAAGAAGGAAATTTTATCTAACCCTGTATTATAAAGCATGATTTTTGTCAGCCAGATTCCTCCATTTTTTCCTCCCTACTTTAGACTTATAGCATATGGCCTTATTTCCTCTACTTGTGTTTGGGGTGGTGGTGGCTTGATAAAATGAATATGAAACAAATTAATCTAGTGACCAGAAAGAAAAAAAAGGCGTCAGGGATCTGTCAGTTCACCTGCTAGCCTGTGTGCTGCTGCTGAATTTTAAAGTCCTGCCAAAGTTTCAAGTACTGGATTCGATTCTGCCCTGCTGCTCATCTTCTGTGCCTCATACCATCTACACCTCTATAAACTTGGGGAGAAAAAAAAAAGGGCAAAAGCAATCTAATAATCATAGTTGCTTTCTTCCAGTTATTTTTAAAACCCTGCAGTTTTTTTAAATAAAATTTTAATATTACTGTTCCAGTTGTCTGCTAGTAAAGGAAATCTCAACGTAATGGCAGTGAAAGTTACATTTGAAAATGATCTTATATGCACACTGGATCACAAAAGAAACAATTTTGTTTAAACTCTTCATCTAGTTGTAAACATTTGCTAATCCTCCCTTACTTGCAGAGGATTATGAATTATTCTATAAAATCACATTAAAAAGGTAATTAGTTATGTGAGATATTAACTGATTCATATTTAATAGATTTTTAATCCATATAAATATAAATAAAGAATGGTAAAACTTTAAGAAAAATAATATACATTTAGTGCAAGTTACGAGTTACATTTCTTCCTACCATGTCAGCAGTGGAACGTCTTTTGTGATGAAGAAAAAATAAAAATGACTGTTCTGAAATTTTACAGGGGGGGAAAAAAGATCTCCAGTGTTGTAGCATGCAATTTTTACCAGATACATGTATACAGAATTGTTCCAGCTCTTAACTAGTAGATTAGCAGTATTTTTCCTTATACTGCACAACATTGGTATATATCATAGTGTCTCCAATAATACAAAAATTGCATAAGACCAGGTCACATTATTGATATTTTCTGCAGCAAAACCAGTATTTTTCTTTGAAACGCTAGTTTCATCTGGTTTTAATCTTTCTCATATCACGACAGTACATGGGTTGAAAGAAGTCTCGCATGGTTCTTGCAAGGTATTACCTGTTCAATCTGTTTTTGTCACGGTGGATCTGTACTGCCCCAAGCATTTAATGATGTACGAACGCACGCGTTTAATGGCACAAGAAAAACCTCCCTTCTTGTGATCGAACCTCAGGAACTCACAGTACATCTCAATATGAGAAACAACTGCTTCAAAAGGGCACACCAATTTTAAAGAGGCTTTGTTACGGCTCAGGAGAGAGAGAAATAAAGCTCTTCTGGAATGTAGAAAGGTGACGTGTAATAATTAATACGTTTCATGAGTTAACACAACAGTTTTCAATGGTGAAAAGGGCAAGACCTTTCAGTCTCCAAAGATAGCTCAATTCAGAACGATCCCTCCAGAAACAGGGACTAGTAACACATCTCTTCAATGCTGAAGCACCAGGCTGGGGCTGGAGAATTGCGCCACCTCGTACGGTTCACCCACTGCACTATCATGGCAGACCTGACGTCTCGGGACGCATCCAGTGCAGGACAGCAGCTCTCCCTTCCCACGCTCCCATCAGCCTTCCTCCTCGCCACATACTCCCCCAGACCAACTCCTGATTTCCAGCAGCACTGTTATGCAAAAACCCAGCTCTCGTCTCTGGTTTTGGAAGTATCCCCCAGACTAAAGTGTTGTGCTATTCAACAAATGAACCTCCTCTTCCATTTCCTCTCTCTCCTCAGCTATGGGTTTCAGTTGAACATTATTGAGGCGGGGTCTTGGTTTGCCGTCTGGGCCATATGACGGAGGATATCTTTTTTTGTTATAATGCCAAGGAGGCGCCTGGAAAGGATAAATGGAAGATCAGTATTAATCCAAGCAGGAAAATAATAAAGCAGAACAAATCTGTAGCCAAGTCCTTTTTGTTGACAGGAGTAGAGCAAAAGTAAACAGCCTGATTTTCTTATTTAAACAAAAACATTTTATTCATCAAAATATTGAGGAACCACCGGTTTGTTAAAAGATAGCAATGCTGAGACACCATATCAGATGGTCTCTGACAGCTGTAGTCCATTTCAATGAAATACAAGTAATGCAAGTAAAGCCCATGACAATTTTTATTTAACTTTTTGTTTCTACAAAAAATGGAATTTTGATTAGCGTATGCCAACAAAAAAGTAACAAAGAGGGACAAAGAAAAAGGAGGTATGAAAAAGAAGTGATATTGATCCCATTTCATAAGGGAGGCATGTTCCAACCTAGCCATCAGGAGTGACGCACCGCTTGATGGCCCAAAAGCCTAAGAGCAAATCAGACTCCCCTCCATTTTTAAATCGCAAGGATCCTTCCAGTCTGACACACTGGCTCAGGCTGAATGTATTCATAGGAGCACACTGTATTGGCCATGAAACTTTTGTAAAATAAACAACAGTTAACCAGGTTTTGGAGTTCACAGCTTTACAAAATAAACTGTGAATAATAAAATTTTCTTTTTCCAATTTAGATACTGTGCTCTTATGACAGGGTCTTCATGGCTTTTAAAATTATAACTGCAAAATATCAAAAAGGGTGAGACTGTCCAAAAGGATAATATCACAGGAGAAGCAAAGAGCAGAATGAATGAGCTGCTGCCCTTGTTATTCTGGTTAGTACATTTTGTTTTCTCTTATTAAAGGACGCATGAAATACTTGTGAAATATTAGCATAAAATGAGAACATAATCAGCATGTTTTGCACATAAGCAGCTAAACTTGGTGGGTATGTTTAGTAGAGATGTAACTAGTGACCTATGTCCAAATTAAGACAAAGTCTACCATCTATCTAAGGTTAGTTCACAACATCATGGTTAAAACAGTATCTAGATTCTGAAGTTGATAGTCGACACAGCAGCGTGCCACTGAGTGGCTTAGGGTATCACTGAACATTTTATAAAGGAATACATTAATTGCTGTAGGTAACAGCAGCAGAATTACAGGACTTTACGTAAAACCACAGGACTTTTCTAAAAATAAGAGTACTTTTAAAAAATTATGTTGATAAAGGGGGATTACAGGGAAGATCTAATCCTGTGATACATTAAAAAACATGCTTGGCTTTGCTTCTCAAAAGACATGATACTTACTTTGCTATTTAACAGCTATTTAAAGCTGTCAAACTGAGAAAAAGAAACTGGCATATACAAAAATCTTGATTTGCATTAGACAGGGACAAAGTATTCCTAGCTGTGTGCTCTCCCACTTGGGGAAATCAGATCAACTAGATGGATCTCTGTGATCTCAAGAACAAAAAGATCAGAAACTCTGTTGTTTACTTTCCTTTAATGTTGTGACTAACAGTATGTCCATATTAACAGCTTAATTTCTACAAAAGGATTTTGCACATATTGTTTTATGGTTTAATACAATTTTTAGCATAAGATGATTTCATTGTTCAGCTGATGTCAGAAAAGCCCTGAACAGTTCACAAGTTTCATGCCTCCTGACTTCTAATGTGTCTAATTATGAGATCTGATATATCTAATCACCAAGGGTTCGACGTGCTGCTTTAGTTGCTCGAGATGCTCTAATATGTTCTTCTTTGTGATGATCCCCAAGACAATCCTGAAACAGATCATGTTATGCTAATAACTGCGTGTGAAATCAAATTAAAAGAAGTTCTAATCATAATGAAAAAGGATTAGAGCAAAACTAAAAACAAAACAAAAAAAAGAGAATGGTTGCATGAAAGCTAATGAGATAATTAAATGAAAAGTGATTTGAAAGTCAGTACCCTTCCCCAGACATTGCCTTTTTCCTTTTTCTCCCAAAACGCTGAACACAACTGCATCTTCAACCACTCCAGAGCAGTACGTACATGTCAGGGAAGCATACTTCATCCCTTCTCCCCAAATTCACATCTCTTCAGGTTTTAGAGGCACTGAAACTAAAATCTACTTTATTTCCTTTGTTTAATAGTTATTTCTCCTCACACATACAGATAATTATTCACATTTTAACAAGCCACAGCAGACAAACAAAGTAATAACTGTGTAAAGTCATAGCAATTGAGGTTTGAAGCTGCACTATAGAGCAGGGCTATCTGGTGACCCTAGAAACAGACAAATTCCTCATTCATGCCAGTATAAATCAACAGCAACTCCTAGAATGGATATTCTGGCACAAATTAGGAAGAGTGAGGCTCAGAGTTTACATATCTCTCTCTGTCATCACCACCAACTTCTGCACAGTTCCTGTTCCGATCTGGATTGGAACCAGTAAGTTGATGCGTGCCTTTATGTGGGAATATTCAATTTACAGGAAATTTGCCAAGATATAGGTAAGTCCTTGATGTCCACGTGGCTATATGCCATGGCTAAATGCCGCTAGTACTAGTATTTACTATCTGATCTTGTTGCAATGGACAGTGTGCTCATGGAATATCACAAGTTTGTAAACTGAAGTAGGACAAATATGACTGTCTGAAAACAGCAAATTATTAAAGCCATGCATACTTGCTGCTTCTTTATCATAAAATAATTTAAAAATTATAGTACAGTTTGACATAGCTTCTCACGATGGAGCTTTCTTTAAGAGTCCATTTCAACATCAATATCAATGTTTGAACACTCAGTCACAATAGAAACTAAGAAAAAAAAATCATCACAGTAAATACTCTTCATTGAAGTTTTATCAGTTCAAATTTCCACCCCCAAACAAGAATAATGGCATGCCTGCACTGACTTCTAAGTGCCAGATCATGCTGTCCTTTCCCCACCAGAGAAAGGTTTTTAAAGTAATTTATGCTTCTGAAAACATCTACTTGCCATTCAATACAGGGATGCATTGCAGAAGAAAAAGCAGGAGAATATTTAAAATAAATTTATTTTAAAATTCTGAAAAACTAAACTAGGAAACCAATGCCATATTTGCCACTTATAGCAGCAGTCCTATTGCCCACAGTAAAACCCGCAAAGTTCCACCCATATTTCAGGTTTCTTGGGTTTTGTCCCACGGACACTTATCCTACGTAACATGGATTAACAGACAATGTTTCGCTCCCCAGGTGCCTTAAAAGACATGCTAAAGAGAAAGCAAGATACTATGGTAGGAGCTGCAATGTTGTGTGTCAAGCGTTTAGCGCAAGAGATAGAGGAAAGCAGAATGTTAAAAGGAACAGCTGCACAGAAAAAGATCATGTAAAAAAAAAAAAAAAGAGTAGTTTAAATAAGAGGCAATTATAATGAACATTTATGTTTCTGTGCCTAGGGCTGATTTATTTAGTGGGTAATCACATGACAACTCCCTATAGTCTCATTTACAAACATCCCAAATCTTAAAATTACTTCTTGAATTATTTTCAAGTGTAGAAACAAAAGTTACAGACTGAAGTTCCAGACCCAGTAGCAGTCATTTAATTATTAATATTCCAAAAACAAAAGCTTGGAGGTAATCGCCATCATTAAACTCCAGGAGAAGAGACAGGGACTGGATCATTTTCTCCCTTACTTTTTATGAATGCAGATATTTGTAGATGTGCAAGAGCTGATACACTGCACAGAACATATATAAGAACATGAAAATACAGGCCTTCGACTGTGCACCACACAAGACTGAACTTCCATGAAGCAAGTTGTGTCTCCTCCACGTGCAAGCTGCACACACAAAACTTGCTGAACGAGAGCTAGTTTTTAACAGAAAATCTTAAAATGACTGAAGTCACCTGCCTGATTACTTGGAATGTAAGGGAGGAGTAAGAATTCAAGAGAGGTGCCACAGCACAGCACCTTCTTATGGAACAGTTAGGGTCCTCAGTTATAGTACCAAACTTAGGGGTTCAAATACCATGATCCTTGAATATATCCTGGTTCAAATACTCTGATCCTGGAAGTGAAAATTACCATATCTAACAAAATGAACAGCATTGCTGCTACTGTACTCACCCGTTGTGTGTTACAAGGCACTGCCTCAGACCCAGCTTCCGGAAAATATCCACCACTATTTCCATTGGTGTGTGGTCTGTCACGGTGAAAGGGCTCATATCAAGTATGCTTCTGAGCTTCAAAGGTCGAGGGCTTTCTGCTGGAAGTGATGGGGTATGCTGGGCAAAACAGACCCTGGAACTGCCAACAATCCCTTCCTGCTTCTTTCTGGCACTTTCTTTAAGAAAAAGAGGGGAGGGGGGGATACAGCAGAGGAAGAAGAATTTACGTTCTTTGAGTAAGATAATCTAGTGCAGATAAACAGATCAATCAACGCCATCAGACTCTGATGTTATTCTCTAGATGCTGATATTCTGCTATAAGCTATTTTGATGTATTTCCATAGCCACTGCTTTATCCCTAAGAAGCGGTTGTGCATAATCACAAAAGCCATCTACCATACAGCTTTAGCCATTCTTTGGCTACTACCTTTCTCACTTCAATAAATAACTTTTATTTACTATAAAGAGGTGGAAAGGCTTAAAAAATAACGTGCAGGAGGCACATAAGACAGCTGCTGAGGAAACCATCAAGGGGAAAGCCAATCTCAAGTGACAGCTCCCCTGTCGTGATTCTAACAGCTGTAATTGTTGTTGGCTTGAAACTCAAGAACTCATTTCTGACCACTCTGAAAATGCTGTCTTCTTGTTTATACCGAATTTATTTAGCTTTCCGTGAACTGCATTCTCTTCCTTTTCATGTCTTCACCACCATGGTGACACCAGCATGCCCCCCTATACTCTGAACTATTTCACACAATGACTCTCTTAAGCCAGCGAAAATCCAGGACTGAGCAACTTGCACCGTGCAATTGCAGCAGCTGAAATGAGCCTTACCTGTGAAAGTTATTATTAGAAGAATTTTCTGCTATTCCACCTTCCAAGTTTTGGACATTCCTATACATCCTACATAGTGTAATACCATGGCATACATAGCATTAAGACCACAGGTAAAAGTTTTACTGAAGTAAACAGTGTTGCGTTCACTAAACATTTTTTTTTTTTTAAAAGTTTCAGGAGACTTTTGTGTCTCTTTCTGAAGCATCTGTTAAAGAGATACTCGTCAATGTACAACCTTATTAATTAAGAAAAAAAAAAGTAGTTTAAGATGCAACTTCATCACTGATTTCATGCACAAATGTTATAGTTTTGTAACATTTTCTTATGTAACAATAGTTTTTTTCCTTTGGTTATGACAGCATCCTCAAAATCCACAGTTTTCTTGCCAGTGCACAAAGCATTGTCACAAGTATCACACAAGTTCTAATATTCACCCAAAGAAAGCAGGCCTAAAGAGGGCTTGTGTGCTCATATGTCCACGGCCAAATTTCCCATTACACAAACAAACTGAAAACCAGGAATCTAAAATAATTAATATTTTCCTTAACTCTCCATAATACAATCTTATTTGTTATAGCAACAGTAAATAACATACTGTCAGAGAGAAGTATGATATGCATTTAAGTTTAAAAATTACTTGGGCAGTAATTCTCACAGAACCCTGCTATTCTAAAATGAGAATTACTCCATTTTGAAGAAGAATGTCAGTCTAGCGTCACTTGATATACAAGCAAAAGCCTCAAAACAAAAATACTGGCCTAGATGATGTTTTGGCCTACTTCAGTATGACAACTTTTGTTTTTATGTCAGAGACAACGAGATTAACATTTGCTCCATTTTAGAGCCTGCTACTGAAGATAATCATGTACTTCAATAAATAGACAGACAGCCTGAGCGACGTAACTGAACTTGAAATAAGTCTAGAAACGCACAAAGTAAATTCTGTTTTAAGCTATAAAATCATCAAAATTGGCATATATAATCATGCAATACTGGAAGATAGTTACCTATTGCAATAGTTAAATCTCTTCTTAGAGCAAAGCCCACCAGTCTCTGCGATTCTTTTGACATAATAACAGGAAAACCATTATAGCTGGTTTCGTTGATCAAGTTTTCTATGTCTTCAACTGTCATATTATCCTGTGTCAAAACTGCTAAAGGTGGATCACTTCTTCGAGGTCTCATAACGTCAGCAGCGAGTGTTGTGTGAGTAAATTCTTCCTTTGCATCCAAGAAAGGATATCCATTCAGTCGGATGTGTGCCTCATAGATGCCTTCCCTACCAAAGGCATCTCCTACCCACTTACTGGTCATGACTGCAGCCATTAGGGGCACAATGTATTCCAGCCCTCCTGTTAGCTCAAAGACAATAACTACAAGGGACACAGTCATCCTTGTCACACCACCTGCAAGAAAAACAGTAGCCAGTAACACTCTAGTATCAGATAACAATGAATTTAGAATTTCCTGCCTTCCTGTAGAGAACTACAAACAGAGCTTTGCCATTAAAGGTCACCTGACAAACATCAGTCTGTGTAACACAAACAGAAGCAGACAGGAAGAAGAAAGACAAAACTTTTAGAAGTAAAAAAAAAAAAAAAAGAAAAAAAGAAAAAAAAAGAGCTCTTTAGGGAAAACTAGAAAGCAAGAGAATAAAGGGTTTTGAAAAATATGTGCAGTTATTCCATGTAAACTAAAAATAAAACAATGTATTTCTTCATATCACACCTAGGTTAAAAATACTGTGAAATGCTAGGAAATCCAGTAAGGTAAGAATCTGGAAAAAGAGTGGAACTAATGCAGGAAAGTCACAGGCAGCAATTTAGCAGCTATGTTGTCCAAACGATTAGGAATTTAATGCTGTGGCTGAATCATAAAAGCTAATGAGAATTCTGAGCTGATGAAAAGAAATCTCTTTCTTGGACAACAGGAGAAGACAGGGATAGCATTTCTCTTCCGTTAGTATTCAAGATTTTTTTCTGCCAAGGTTTCTGATGCTGTATCTTCATTCCATAAAAGACTACGATCTTTCTTTCAATGCATTCAAAAGTGATTTGAGTTGAACTATTAAAAACCAAAACATCCTCTCAAAAAAACTGAATTTGTACCACTAGTTTATTTGATTGCTCAAATGCGCTCTTTCTTAAGGAAAAGGTCTACTTTTTGCAGTATCTGTACTAAAAGCTTTTAAGTTTCATTTCTAAGGCAGCAAAGTTACAAGCCAGGACAAGACAAAGCCTCCAAAAAAACCTCTCCTAGTTTAGGTGCCCAACTTAAGCCTCCTTCCATGAAGATGATTTTCAACAGTTTGTAAATCAGACTTGTTAAAAATTCCTCAAAGCTGGACTCCCCAAATCATCAGACACTTCTGAAAGTTTTGTTTGGATTATGAATTTCAAGAACATTTTTTGCAATTCATGTAGATGCAGCAGGTGATCACGTCACCGTCTTGTAATAATTTCAACAGTACTTGACTCTAACACCCTCTACTTCATACATTTCAAGAAACTGATTTTTGTGACTGATGTAATAATGACACCTCTTGATACCAAAAAGAGAAAGCAAACACTACTAAACTCTTCTATTTCTCACAAATTTAAATTTCATGTTATTCCTCAGATCACAAGGATCTGACGGTCTTATGTAGAGATGTGAATGTATTATTCTGAAGAAAGAGAAGTCCATATAAAAAGGTGTTTCAAAACTGCACACATTTATATCTCCTTTCATTTTTTAATAATTATTTTGACAACATACAAGAAATCAGATACTTATTTACTTTGTTATACTCTATTTACCTAAGCAGGCAGCAGCACCAACCATGGCATACAGACCAGGTGTAATACAGTCAGCTCCAACCTCACACCACTCCTTGAAAATGAACCAGTCATGATGGTAGTAAGCCAGCTGCTCCACTGCAATTCCTACAATCCTTCCTGCTATTGCTCCAATTGCCATACTAGGTATGAACAACCCAGATGGAACCTAAAAAAAAAAAAACACCAGAAGAAATGCTGTCACGCTGATGGGAACGTACCTGATGCATCATTTTACAAGTAGGTTTGGGGTTTTTTGTTGTTGTTGTTTGTTTTCCAAAAGAGATGCAAATGCTCAAATTGTCAGGTTAAAACCATATAAATTGACCTTGCATGGTTAGTGAAACTTAAGACAATGCTATTGGTATCTCTGATCAATCTGGTTAGCTGAATCCATTATATGAGAATGCTTGTTTATATTTTACTGTATTAAGAGCAAATCTCTCACCAATACAGGACCACAAACTAGATTCTGAGTGCCAACAGCACAATTCTTACCATATGTGTATCCAATCTGAGCTGTGCTACTAGTACTGAAAAGTCTTCCTTACTATTTCCCACCTTCCTTATTACTTCATGTTCTTCTGCATGAACACTCACTCACTAAACAAGCTTTGCACATAGGACTGCCTTCCAAAACTGCTTCCTAACACTGCTATAAATTATATGGCCCACAGATGATTTTTAAAAGAGGCTTTGCCTACTATATTGCAGTTTCCCTTACAAAGGATTGTATACAGAATGCTAAATACAGTAAGAGAAAAAAAGGCAGGACAACTCCCACTGCAAAAAGTAGGTAACACATTACTGTATAAAAAAGAAGTTCCTACTGTTATTTTATTTATTTAAACTGTTTCTGTTATTAACTAAAACCTGAAAAGGCCACACAGCCTTGTCATACCAACATAACTTAGTAAATATTATTGCAAGTCTTGCTTTTATCAGCAGCTTCATGTGGTGCAACAGTTCATCTGAGAAACTGCTGTTGTGTATCTTTTCTCCTCCTTAGGAAGCTAATCTTTTTTCCAAAAAACATACTGGTGTCTAAATGTCTCATTAAACTGGAAACGCCCACTGCTTCTCCTCACAGCAGTTAGTATCAAAATATTTTCTACTGTGACTGAGGTACAGATCTGATTACAAGTAAGCAGAATTTTTACTTTTTGTCTAAATGCACCTGAACCCATCCTGTCAAAACAACTCCCATTAAACTCTCCTGGTGTAACAGGACACATCATTTAATTTCTTTCCACTGTACACCTGGGAAATTTAAGTATTGTGCAATTACAAACTATGTATTTTGCCATGGAATCCAATAGCTGTTGCAGAAGTGTTTTTCGGAATCTATTTGCATTATTCTTCTTATTATTATACTGCCGATATTTATGATTGCCAAGATGATTTCTAACAGACAAACCATGGACAAACAAACATAGCAAACTTTCTGTTTGAAAGCCAGCAGCACAGATTTTGGGGAAAGAAGTTTAATAATCCTTCATTCCCATCCTGAATTACACAATATTTCAGTGTCGATAAAGGTAACTATTCAATGCTGTCATTTTAGTGTAATAGCCAAATCGTGCGTTTATACACATTTACGCATACACTATGCAGCAGTATATGTGCATATACCACCATTATTTCCCACAATTAACCATGCACCTAAACTCCTTTCTAACTGTTAAAATTCAGTATTTTTTTTTTCCTGAGTGAAATTCTTTCTTGGTGAATGGTTCAATAGCACCCTGAAAAAAAAAATCAGCTATAAAAATAATTGAATAAATCTTTGAAACTGCCTCAGAGTCTAGTCTGCTACAGGAGTATGCCACAGAAATTCCGTCTCCCCATGGAAATCACATCCAAATTGTTTCTGGTCCTTTGTTAACACAACTTTTTTATGCATCTAGCTCCTTCTCTTCTTTCCATCACACGTGGATAATGGTTACAAGTCTAATTACGATTTTACAGCTGCATTCATTTGCAAAAGCCTCTGAATCACAAGTCACAAAGTGAAGAAGAACCTTCACTGAGAAGGAGCAAGGAAGAAGTTAGGTTCTACCTTGTCTCAACTTTCTTCTCCAGTGCATGCCAGCCTAACTCAAGTTACACTACAGAGGAAAAGGTTTGTTCTGTTGCACATGTGTCATCTTTGAAACAAGCAAGGGATCAGGATATGGGTTTCCACTTCAGTCAGGTTCTGAGGCAAAACTCTAATCCCCCCGCACTCGATCACCAGCATTTAGACACAGTAACAAGTCTACTGCTAATAAGCAATACAGCGTACATACAAAAGCCTGAAAGAAAAATAAAAAGAAAGCAAATAAAAACCACAACCCACTGCCATATTAGCTTCCTGGCAATCCTTATTCAGGGCAGTGAAAGCACCAGCCATCACCACACCCCACATGCAGCAGCTCAGTTGGTTTGCTTACCTCACAGGAAAACAGTTCCTGTGGGGGAGACATGTTTGCACATGGCTACAGCTCCAGCAACAGATCTGGATCTTTAAGAATGATTTAAATGACAAAGTAGTGTTTGGTTTGGTTTTTTTTTTTTAAATTTTGAATTTTCTCCTCCTTTCACAGAAATAAAGCTTAAAATGCAAATAAATATAACATTAAGGTGACATCTGGATCTCCAGATCCTGGCTGACATTCTAACCAGGTATATGCTTTAGAGCTTCAGAGACATGTACGTAGCACAGTCCCATCAATGACAGCAGCACGATTCCTTGCTTATTGGCAAAGTAATAAATATATCCTTACAACTTCACAAAAATATTTCCACCAAACTGCAGATGCTGAAGTTCTGAGAAAACGAATCAAAACTCAAAGAAGTGTAACCACTACCATTCTGTCATCTAGTGAATTCTAACACACGAAGTGTAATCCTGTGGTGACAACCCCATGAGAAAGAGCCAGATACACACAAACACATGAATGGTAAAAAATGTTATAATGCTTAGAAGGACAAAGCCCTAGAAACAAGAGAACTACAGTACGTGAATGCAAAACAATACAACAGATTGGAGTGGTCACGTTATAGAACAATGTCTGAAATTTTGACCTATGGAAGACTAGCATTTAAAATACATGCAATGAAATTCTCTCACCCATCAAGCAACATATGGAAAATAACTTCAAATAACAGACTGCAACACCTTCTAAAATATCAACACATGAGAAACACAGCCTGATATTATTCTGTCAGCTAAGAACAACAGAATGGGTGAGGCTGGATGTGACCACTCCAGACTCTCTACTTATGCTCAAGTGGGGTCAACTATAGCAGGTTGCTCAGGACTGTATCCAGTCAGGTTTTGAGTTGTCTCCAACACTGGAGACTCCACAAGTTCTCTGGATAACCTATTCCAGCATTCAACCACCCTCACGGTAACCAAGTGTTTCCTTATGCATGCAGTTAGACAGAACGCCAACGTAGACTAAAAAGATAAAGCCAGTTCAAACTCAAATCCTGCTCAGTGAACATTCTGGGACACGTTTGTGTTAAGACACATTTGATAATTATGTAGTTGTAAAAAACTATGAAGGGAGCCTGACAAGATAGAAAATTATGAAGGTATGACAGTTATATGTCATTCAGAAAACAGCTTGGAGAGAATCTGAAGAGAGCTCCAAAACAGATTTATGAAATGACCAGGGAAAAACAAAAGTTATGCTGCTTTGTAATGGAGAAGAGATTCCCATTACAGTCACATGAACAAATCCTGCTTTCTAATCATGACATCCAACAGTGGAGATTTCGGGAAAGAAATCATCATTGGCTCCTTTTGATAGTCTGCAGTAAATACATTTCTGTGATAAATGAGGAGAGGGAATCAAAAACACCCCTAACAAGTTGTTCAAGAGGTACAGTCTTTTCTTCTTCCATGTAACAGGACTAGGGAATCTGAGTGGTCAGGTTTGAACTCAGCTCTGGGAAATTTTAGAATCATCGTTATTGCTGAATTGCCCATACAAACAGCCATCCATCCACACACTTGCTGTTCCCTGTTATATTTAGCACGTTTTATGCAGCTGAACAAAAGGCTAGTTTGAATTTAACTAAACTTAGTATTGTGTTCTGCAAGAACTTGCTTATTAATCAACAGTAAAAGAACTACACATGAAAAATAAATGAACAAAGCTGCTAGCTTTGAGAAATGGAAAATGAGAAAGGCAATAATTAAATAATCACAGCAGATGATATAGCCACTGCATTCACACTTACCTTGATACCAAAGGTGAAGACTGTCATGATTATTTTAAATATGAGTGCTAAACACAACTGCCATATAGCTGAATAGACTCCAGTGCCTGCTGGACGGTCAGGAATATCATCTACTATTTTGCTCGCATTCATATCATTTCTGTAGTCACAGAGGGAGGAGGATTCTAACGGCCCACAGTCTGTGAAGAGCTCTTTAATAAGCTCACTGGTGTTTAGCCTTGTATATGGATTAGGAAATGCAATGGCAGCTGTTATTGCTGCAACAATAATAACCTCCAGGACAGGATACTTCCCAAATTTCGTAGATTTGCGTCGACGACACCATGCGATGTTTGCTCGGATGAAAAAAGCTCCCCAGAGCCCACCAAATACTCCCAGAAGAATAAAAGGAAGCAGTTCAAAAAGGTACCAAGGAGTGTGATACTCCACATAAAAAAGAACTAGGCGGCTATTACCAAAAGGATTGATGGACCTCAAAACAAATGCAGCTACTAAAGCAGCAAAAAATGATCTCCATAAAGTTTTCAGTGGGAAATAGTAACTGACCTGCAAAAGGCAATACATGAGAATTATTAGTGATTCAATTAAAAAATACAGACGTGTTGCACGTGTTACGGTACTGCTGCTCACACGGTATATGCTAAAAAAAAAAAAGTACTCTTACATTATCAGTATTATACCTATCACTTGGAGCACTAGAGCTCCAGCACATACTACTTTTTTTAAAAGCTCTACAACAATTCATACTTATATCAGTTTTAAAATCAATACTAAAGCAGTACTGAAACCACTGCTGTTTTAAGACTGTTAGGAAATAATGCACAGTAATTATGTTTAAAAGCTTCTCTGTTCCTAAGTACCTCTCTCTAGCATTCATAAGCAGCAGACTGTGTGCTAGGTGCTCTCTCAAATTTCCTGCTAATACTGTTTCATCTCCATTCAACCTACACTGAAAGGTTTCTGGCAGATGTGTTATTTTTGATGAAGTTTGATTAAAACATTTTTTTTTAAAAAAAAAAGAATCGTCAAAACAGAACATGCAATTTCATACTTAAGCCCCACATAGCCTGATTTGAATTTCAAGAGTTTTCTTCTGGGCTTTTTTTGAATTTTTTTGGCAACAAAGGAATTCCTCAAAATACCCTGACACAGCAAAGTTATACATGAGAGACTATTTTGCTTCCTTTTCTCAATTCAGAGATTTTTAGTTTTCTTTAAAAATGCTAACAATCTAAATAACTTTCTTATGTTTTGTGAAGACAACTAATGAAAACTAACTAAATAAGAAACATTTCTTGGAGAAGACAGTTTAGCTGCCTTGGAGGTCAGTTTTACAGCATATTTGCCTTTTTCATAATTAACATATTCAACTGTTTAGTTTCTGAAACTTTAAGAAAAGTAATGTTTAAAACTTGCTTCACAAAACAGGTTTCTAAAGCCTCTTTCAAAATGAAAAGAGCTCAATTTTTTTTTTTTTTTTTTTTTTTTTTTTTAGAATACATTCCTGGAGTGAGAAACTGCTGTATCCCTATCTGTATGTTAAAAAAAAAAAAAAAAAAAAAGTTATTAACTGACTCAGCCCTCCTCCAGAAAAATAGAACTGAGCATAAAGAAAAGCTGACATTCATGCAAATAAAAGAAAGAAATATCTTTAGGAGTTTGCTGGTAACAGGACTCTTGGCTTTGAAATGTGGGTCCAAAAACAGTTTCCTTCTTTGGAAAGACTGCAGCTTAACATAGTCTGAGATTATTCATGCTAAAAGCGAATTTTTTTAAATACCTATCCTTCAGTGCCATCTCCTGACATACCTCCTCCAGACTGAAAAGGACTCCACCAATTGGGGCACCAAAGGCTACAGATACTCCTGCTGCTGAGGCAGCTGACAACACCTGGAAAAGAAGAACGGTGAGGGGTTTTTTTTTTGCATACGCTTTAAACATGAAGGCAGAATCTCATTGCAGTTATCCGTTTCTTCTGTGTTTCTATCGAGGACACACAGACTTGCTCACAGAAAGGCATCAGGTAAGTGTATCAGAATGCTCAGAAGATGTGGCCACAGCAGCCACCAACCAGGTACTAGCCATGACGAAGGCAAGGATGCTGCTCAAAGCCTCCCCAGTGAAGCATCCAAAGGAGCCTGGGCTTCAGTATGAAACTGCTGATAATCTCATTTTCAAGAAATTGTAGTAAGCTTTCTCTTTGCTTAAGTAGGCAATTCCACCGTGCCATAAGTTGAGCAAGTGTGGCAGAAGACCAGCTTGGCTGAACAGGGAACTCCTCGTGGAGCTCAAGAGGAAAAAGAAATTGTACGATCTCTGAAAGCAAGGTCAGGCTTTGCAGGAACCACAGAGCTGTGGTTCGGATATGCAGGAAGACACAAAAGGCCAAAGCCCAATTAGAATCAAACCTAGCCAGTGTTGTGTCAGATAACAAGAAAGGCTTTTTGAAGTGCATGAATAGCAAGAGAAGGTCTAAAGAAAACATTGGACCAATACTTGTTGGACCGATACTTGTTGAAGGTGGTCATCTGACTAATAGGAACAAGGAAAAAGGGGAGGCATTCAATGCATTCTTTGCCTCAGTCTTTAAGAATACTGATAGATCTTGGGCCGCCCAGTCTCCTGAGTCAGAGGACCACAAGTGTAGGAACAGTGACTTTCCATTTGTGGACACTGAAATCGTAAGTGACCAGCTGTATTAGCTGAATGATACAAGTCCATGGGGTCTGATGGGATTCATCCCAGAGTACGGAAGAAGCTAGCAGATGTTATGGCATGACCCCTCTCATGATCTGCCAAAGGTCCTGGAAGTCTGG